GAATGATGTGATTGGACCAATAGAACCAAAAGCATCGAATGGTCATAGGTTCATCCTGGTGGCCATTGATTACTTTACCAAAGTGGGTGGAAGCAGTAACTTTCAAGTCAGTGACCAAGAATGTCGTGGTGAATTTCATTCATTTCAACATCATCTGTCGATTTGGTATTCCAAAGGCAATTGTTACCGATAATGCTGCAAATCTCAACATTCACTTAATGCAAGAGGTATGCCGTCAATTTAAGATTGAACATCGAAATTCGACTCCTTATCGCCCAAAAGCAAATGGGACAGTAGAAGCTGCCAACAAAAATATAAAAAATACTTCGTAAAATGGTGCAAAGTTCTAGACAATGGCATGAAAAGTTGCATTTTGCTTTGTTAGGTTATCGCACTACAGTTCGTACGTCAGTGGGTGCCACCCCATATTCGCTGGTAAATGGGACTGAGGCAGTTATACCTGTAGAGGTTGAGATTCCATCCCTGCGGATTGTTGTAGAGGCTGAAATTGATGATGATGAGTGGATCAAAACACGCTTGGAGCAATTAAGTTTGATTGATAAGAAGCGAATGACATCAGTATGCCATGGGCAATTGTACCAGAAAAGAATGGCACGAGCATACAACAAAAAGGTGCATCCCAGACGTTTCGAAGAGGGTCAATTAGTGTTGGGACATATTCTGCCACACCAGGCTGAAGTCAAAGGCAAATTTTCTCCAAATTGGAAAGGACCATTCATTGTAAAGAAGGTATTATCCAATGGTGTTCTTTACTTAGCAGATATAGAAGGCAAAATGACAGAAAATGGTCATCAATGCTGATGCTGTGAAGAGATATTATATATGATGTGATTTTTCGGTATTAGAAACCCTTATGTTTAGACTTGACATTTCAAAGGTTGATGTAACAGAAATACTTGGTTTTGTGTCTAAGTATTAATTCATATGTTGTCACCCTTGTTGAGAGTTAATTTACTTTGTTGGTTCTTGTGCTTCCTTGGCTTTTCCACTAAAAGAAAAAAAAGAAGAAGAAAATCAATCATATGAACTACGTTTGACCTGATTCTTGTTTCGATAAGATACGTAGGCAACCCTAGTATGGGGTTCGGTCTAACCAAATAAAAAATCTAAAATTCCATATTTGTAAAAAACTGGGGCAAAAGTCATTTTTTTTCCTATCCCAAAGCTAAAGTCAATCCCATCATTTAAAGTCGTATTTGAGCCTTTCATCTTGTCATTTCTTTCTAACCTTGTATAAAAGTTGTGTTTCAATCAAAGAAAGATCTTTGGATCAACCTTTGAAATGTCAAGAGTAAGAATGTTAAGGGTACAAATGATGAAATCATGAGAGAGACTTATTGGTGGAAACACTAACTGGGCATCATAAGGCGAATGTGAGTTGAGAGAAACAAAAATAGGAAAGTCTTATGGTGAAAACCCTAACTCGGCATCATAAGGCGAATGTGAGTTGAGAGAAACAAAAATGAGAGAGTCTTATTGGTGAAAACCCTAACTCGGCATCATAAGACGAAAGTGAGCTGTGAAAAAAAAAATAATAGAAAAGAGAGAGTCTTATTGGTGAAAACCTTAACTGGGCATCATAAGGCGAATGTGAGTTGAGAGAAATAAAAATGAGAGAGTTTTACTGGTGAAAACTCTAACGGGCACCATGAGGCGAATGTGAGTTGAAGGATTCAAAGTGAATGAGTTTTAGTGGCAAAAACTCTCGTGGACATCCCAAGGCGAATAAGAGTTTAAAGTTATTTATGACTTCGTCAAATCGTTGGGGCTCCACATCAAGATTAGATGATCAATAATGGTTGAGGAATAGATTGGATGGACAAATCGGGTATCAATTCAAATTGCATGTCATGATCAGTAGAGTCGGCTACCACACTCAGATAAGTTTTTCTTTCTTACTCTCTCTAAAAGAGATTTTTAATCGAATCATTTTCTTTTATTCTTGTGTAGTGTATATTTTTCTTCCCCTTTTCATCACTTGGTTTCACATGTCCTTGAGTCGAGTTTGTGTCAAAAAATTGAGAAAAGATTTCAAGACTAGCTACCAACTTTCTGGATTGTACAAGGCAAAACATCATGCCAATGAGTTGTCATCTATTGATAAGTTCTGGATTCAGAAAAGTTCACAATTTAAAGAAAGCTAAACAAGGAGTATCGTGAAATGAAGGCGGATATGGGATTTAAGTCTCTTGAAGAAAGCAATTTGGGTGTATACATTCAATCAATAACGAGCATTGGCCGGTTGGGAATAAGTAAAACATGACAAATGCTAGCAATCCTCGTCAAAATGCAAAACCACAAACCAACCACCACGTTTATAAACTCACAAATTTTCTTTGTTGAAGCTGGGGCACAAGTTATTTCGAGATCAAAGATCCAAAAATCTAGATGTTCAATTTAGTCTACGAAGAGCTAAATGACAACATTGCACAAGAATTATAGTCCATATTGGGTAAGTGTCTGTTTGTCTTATTAGTCTATGGAACATAGTGTAGTAAGGACCTTCCTGAATAATGGGATAGTGTATCAAGGACCCTCCCTGAACAATGGGACTTAGTGTAGCAAGGACCCTCCTGAACAATGGGACGTAGTATAGCAAGGACCCTCCTGAATAATGGGATGTAGTATAGCAAGAACCCTCTTGAACAATGGGACGTAGTCTAGCAAGGACCCTCCTGAACAATGGGACATAGTGTAGCAAGGACCCTCCTGAATAATGGGACGTAGTAAAGCAAGGACCCTCCTGAATAATGGGACGTAGTGTAGCAAGGACCCTCCTGAATAATAGGACGTAGTGTAGCAAGGACCCTCCTGAATAATGGGACGTAGTGTAGCAAGGACCCTCCTGAACAATGAGACGTAGTATAGCAAGGACCCTCCTGAACAATGGGACGTAGTATAGCAAGGACCCTCCTGAATAATGGGACGTAGTATAGCAAGGACCCTCCTGAATAATGGGACGTAGTATAGCAAGGACCCTCCTGAACAATGGGACGTAGTATAGCAAGGACCCTCCTGAATGACAATGGACGTAGTATAGCAAGGACCCTCTGAATAATGGGACGTAGTATAGCAAGGACCCTCCTAAATAATGGGACGTAGTGTAGCAAGGACCCTCATGAATAATGGGACGTAGTGTAGCAAGGACCCTCCTGAACAATGGGACGTAGTGTAGCAAGGACCCTCCTGAATAATGAGACGTAGTGTAGCAAGGACCCTCCTGAACAATGGGACGTAGTATATAGCAAGGACCTTCCTGAACAATGGGACGTAGTATAGCAAGGACCCTCCTGAATAATGGGACGTAGTGTAGCAAGGACCCTCCTGAACAATGGGACGTATTGTAGCAAGGACCCTCCTGAACAATGGGACGTAGTATAGCAAGGACCCTCCTGAATAATGAGACGTAGTATAACAAGGATCCTCCTGAACAATGGGACGTAGTATAGCAAGGACCCTCCTGAATAATGGGACGTATTGTAGCAAGGACCCTCCTGAATAATGGGACGTAGTATAGCAAGGACCCTCCTAGATAATAGGACTAGACTAACATAATTTTATTTAACCGGCTCATCATGAAGAATGGAGTTGGTGTAAACACGCATAAGCCCTCTAAAGAGTATATCGCGACAAAGCTCAAATCGTTCAAAGTCTCGATTTAAAGCTAAGCACCATATTTTATTTTTCTCACAAAATTTTCTTATATTAAACTGGGGCAAAATTTTGTGTTATTATTTTTTGTTTGTTTCAATTCAGGAATCTAGTGATAGAATGGGGTCAATCCACATTTCCAGCTCAGGATCTTGGATGGAAAAAGTGTAATTTGCAAGATCAATTTCGATTGAAGAAGCAGCAACTCATTCTAAAAAAAAAAAAGTTAATAACCAAGTACCAGTAAAAGGAACCTACCTGGAGAAAGACGTTTACCTTTGAACTCATTTGAGATGAAAATCAATATCTCATAACTCAAGAAGGGCGAAGACTCAAGTCAAGTTTCAAGAGAAGCTACATAGATAGGGTCGTGTATTTGTATTTCCATTAAATTTTTCGTCTTTTATATTCATGTAACAATAGGAGTCGCGAACTGGAGCCTCAATGGGACCTCACTTGACTTCCAACTCCTCATTTCATCTCCTTGAACTACACGTGACCTGATTCCCTTATAACCCGGGATATGTAGGATGTCCAAAACTAGGACTCGGTCTCATATTTTTCTTTTCGAATAAGAGTCCGTTCAAACCTTGTCACGTTGTCTACTTCTTTGTCTGAAAACTCTTCGTGTTTTCAGTCAAAGAAGGGCAAACTGTAGACACGTAATTTTTGACCGAACTTAAAATTTTACACCATTTTTAGAGCTGAAATATTTTTATAAATATAAAGAAAACATTTTGACTTTTCTCTTATTTTATTAAGTTTATTTTAAAAGATTTGAAAACAACAAAATAGAATCACTTTTTAAGGTAAGTTTTATTGTCAATTGTTTAAAAAGAAATGGAAGATTACAAAAAAATCTATATTTGAAATTAAGTTTTTATAAATAAGCTAGTATTATTTAATTTTTTTTTAATATATATATAGCTAGTTGACGTTTTCTTAGATTTTTATTAATTTTAAATAACTAGTTTATATGTTATTATAATTTATTATTTATAGTTAGTTATTATTCTTTTAAAAGTAGAGTAAAACTAAAATTAAGATAAAAAAATAACCTAAATAATCTAACAAACCTACCCCACTCCTACTCCTATCCTAAACATACTACACGTACAAAACCAAAAAGGGAAAAGGAGAACAAAAGCTTTTGACTTATCTTCCAAAAATTAAAAAAATAAATAAGAAAAGAAAATAAAACCATCATCAAGTTATACTCCCACTTTCTCTCAACTTCCCCACACTCCCACTCCCTCACATTTTCCTCCACATTCCACACCCCACACAATACAACCCACTACCCCACACCTACACCTCTCCTAACACCTATATACATACACAAAAAAGGCACACACAGAGATATAGGCATTAAAAAAAAAGCAATACATATTGTACTTTCTCACATTGTGATTGAAGATCTGGAAATCTATTTTCGCGGTTTCAAGTTCGTGGCTCCTGATTATTTGTCATTTCTTCTCGTTAACTAATTTTCACAAGAGGTAACATTTATTTGTATTTTTATTTTTTGCATAATTTTATGTCATTATTGTGCAAGAATTAATTTCAATATATTGAAGTTGTTCAGATTTCGTATGTGTTTAATCTGTTAATATTATTAATGTTGTGTACTGAAATATATTCGAACATGTATGACATGTGAGTATTTCTTACATGCTTAAGAGTCCATTCCTCGCTCTTTTTTCCTTAATTAATTATCAAAGTTTTTATGTTTGTGTCTTACTAATTTGAATGAATTCTTTGTTTGATAGTATTTAGAAAAGTATTAAGTCATGTTTTATGCTATAATATGTGTGTTGTCTTGATATTTAGGGTTCTAACAAAAAATAATAATAATAAACTTGTTAGGATAAGGAGAAGCTACGAAGACAAATTAAATTAAAATAGATTAAAAAAGAAAAAAGAAAATAAATGTACAGAATGTCAAAAGAAAAAGTATTATAAAAATATATATAAAAAAAGAACAACGAAAAATAATGAAACAAAAGAAAAAAAAAAGAAACAAAAACATAGCACAACAAAAATTAAAAATAAAAAGCAAAGAATAAAACAAATGTACAGAACATTAAAAAAAAAACAAAAAAAAAAAATAAGAAGAGAGAAGTGGAATGAAAAAAAATTAATATAAAATT